TCTCTCTCTCTCTCTCTCTCTCTCTCTCTCTCTCTCTCTTCCTTAAATAGATGAGAGAACCTAATGTAAAACTTCGCGTTCGTATAAATAATTAGACGTTAGATATTACTATTTAAAATAGTCAAATAGTTTCGCGATAAGAGAGACTGATGTGTGTTAGGGCAAATTTATTATAGTTATAAACGTTCGCGAATATTCTAACGACCATGCAATTCGACGATCTAAAAATGTAAAAAAGACGACGAGAGATCGATTTCGTTAATTATTATTCTTCGCGTTAAATTTCTTTCTCTCTCTCTCTCTCTCTCACTCTTTCTCTCTCTCTCTAATTTTTTATCTAATTCCTTTTTCTTCGAGGGAAGAAATGAGAAATAAAAAAAATAAAAAAAATAAAAGACAAGGAAACACGTGATAAGATCGATCATCATTTATAGCGAATCTGAGATTGGAGGATTTTAATTTCTTTTTTTTTTTCTATTTTCCTATTTGTTTCATTCCCTGCGTACGTTCAAACGCGCTTGTTCGACTTCAAAAATACGTTAAAAAGCCTCCCTATATATATATATATATATATATATTTATTTATTTATTGTATATTTTTTTTCCTCGTTTCATTTATACATTCAATTAATCATAGATAATTAATCATTTTTTCATCTAATTTCAGACAATTAACGTCGTTGTGCCATTATTTCTATACCCATTGACAACCTAAACGAGGGATTGGTGGGTGTCCTTCGCAAAAGTGTTTTCCGAATAAACGCGGATTAAGAGAAAAATTCACCTCCCCACTCCCCCTTCCTGTGAAATTGGACAAATTCGTTTCTGATTAATTATCGTAAAATTGTTCCTTGGTGGGGTGGGGTGGGGGATTATACTAAGAGGACGATGAAAGGAAGATAAATCGAGAGAGAGAGAGAGAGAGAGAGAGAAAGAAAGAGAGAAAGAGAGAGTGACGGGGTGGAGGGATTTTTAGTGGATGGGTGGGGTAAGGGGGATAGCGATGGCTAATTCGGTGATGCTAACTAATTACTTTAGTAATTATGCGCGGCATTTTTGAACGTATTTTCCAATCATTTACATACGTTCGACACAAGGAAAACGATCGGTACAAATGGATGGGATTAGAACGGTGAAGGGGGTTGGGGAAAGGGGTTGTGATGAGGTGGTGGGAAAGTTTGATGGTCGCATTAAATTTAGATACACACTTATTACTCAATGAAGAAACATAGTTTGACGTTCGTGTTATTCATATCCAGCAAGCACAAATATGCAATATTGTATACGTATTTTTTATAATTTTTTTTTTTTTGTTCGTTTTTTTCTTTTTTCTTTTTGCCCTTTCCTCTTTTCTTTTTTTTTTTTTT